CAAATATTAAAAAAAAAAATCCTCTCTGGCTTTTAAAGCACTTTACCCCTTTAGTCTTATTATACTTTACTCCCTTCCGTGTTCTCCATGATCCAGTGATACTGGCCTTTTTACTGTTCTTCACTTATCAGTCAATTAATAAATATTCATTAAATGCTTAGTACTAGGCACAGTACAAAAAAGCAAAATAGTTCCTGCTTTCAAGGAGCTTACAATCTAATGGGAAAGACAACATGAAAACATATACAAATCAAGCTGTTAAAGGATAAAGAAGAAGTAATTCACAGGCGGAATTAAGGGGGTTGGGGAAAGCTTCCTGTGGAAGGTGAGATTTTAGCTGAGACTTAAAGGGAGCCAGGGAGGTGAGTGGTCATAACAGAGGAGGGGAGAGTATTCCAGGCAGGGCAAGGCAGCCAGAGAGAAGTCAGGGAGCCAAGAGGTGGAGGGTGTTGTTTTATGAAACAACCAGCAGGCCAGTGTCACTGGATCAAAGAGTATATATGACATTCCGTCTCCCAGCTCCATGCCTTTTCTCTGGCTATCTCCCAAAGCTAGAATGCTCTTCATCCTTACTTCTGCCTCTTGGTTTCTCTGACTTCTTTACAGACTCAGCTCAAATCCCACCTTCAGTAAGAGGTCTTTCCCTTTGAGAATACCTCTCATTTGCACTTTGTATATCTTATATGTACATAGTTGTTTGCATGTTGTCTCTACCATAAGCCTGTGAGCACCTTGAGGGCAGGGACCATGGTTCTTTTGGCCTTTTTTTTTTAATCCCAGTGCTTAGTATAGTAATTAGTACATAATAAACTTTTAATAGATGCTTATTGACTGCCTGTCTAGGTAAAATGGACAAATTACTCAAGTTCCAGAGTAAAATCTTATTCTTTCATTCCTGTCTAAAATCATCAGTATTCCATGGGAAAAGAAATCTTTATTTTGAAAATAAACTTGAGATTGGAATACTGATAGTTTACCATTTATGTATGTAGTCCTTTGCATTTATAACTTCATTTTACTCTCACAACAACCATCTGAAAAGGTAGGCAGTTCAAGCATTTTAACTCCTGTTTTACTGATGGAAGACTGAAGCTGGTGTCAGAAATGACTTTAGTGGATAATTTTCATATATCTTCTATAACGGATGAATTTTACTTCATCAAACCATCATTATCAAACAGTTATTTTTAAGTTCTTGTTATGTGCACAGACTTTTACTCAGTAATGGAATATGGAATATTTCACAGAATGTTTTTATATTAAGTGATTAAAGATATGTGCTTTATAGTTTATTTGACATGATTATTTAATCAATTTTTTATTAGAGCTAATGACTGTAACCGAGTTAAAATTAGTGGTAATTTGAGTTGTAGGATAGTGTGAAAAACAAATGAACAGAAGTGATTTATTTCAATTACCTTTAAAGTAGTGTTTTAGGAGACTTGTTTGAGCTTCTCTGAACTTTGTCCCTTTAAAGTTTGTGTGGAGAGAGGGTTCATATTTGCATGTCATGTGCCAGCACGTTCTGTAAATGATTAATTGATTTTATTATGTAATGAAATATATTGTAAAAAGGATGGCCTGACTTTCTGAAAATGTAATAGAATTTTTTTCTTACCTTAACATTTATTAAATTTAATATTGTTTTTTCAGACATTTATTTTAATTATGCTACCTGAAGAAAAATCTTCACAAATCTTAAAGTACTATACAAATGAATTATTATTGTTATTAATAATAGTGTCTTATCTTTTTTTTTAATAGTTCAGAGAATTCCATTGCCCAACAAGGTACATTTTAGATTATAGGAGATTGTATTGGGTATACAGTCCTGGTCTGACTTTATTAATATTTTTTCTTCTGCCCAGAACACTGTAGCTAATGACCTATAGGAAATCAAGTTTCTCAGCTAGTCCAAGACATAAAATTCACTACTAGTGTGTAGGTATCAGACTTTGGTAGTATGGTACTCTTGAGGGTCATATGACAGAAGTGAGATAGATATCTGACACCTAAAACTAGAAGTATTTCTAATTTCAGAGCCTTATTAGTACTTCTAATTTCTATAAATAGAGGTGGTTAGGGCAACAAGCGAAGGACAAGGAAGAGAGAGGAAAACATGGAGAGAAAAGGTCAGATAATAGAGAAGGTAGTGAAAAAAGAAGAGCAAGGACAAAAATCCAATTAGCTTCTGTGACTGTTTAAGTCCTTCCCCTGAGGAAGGAAGAAGAAATTAACTGCTCTAATTTAACATTTGTTTTAGGGACATAAGGAAGACTGCCCATTTATGGTGTTATTTTCATATAAAATAGCCTTTTTACATTACTGATTATTTCTTGATGAGTTGATAATTTGTGACACTTCTAAAATATTACTGGAAATTTTAGTTTTAGTAAGTTAGGTAATAAAGTAAGCAACATTTCTCTCCTTTATACCAGTTTCTTTAGGAAACTCAAATAGTTGCATAGTTTTAGGAAATGATGGTAAAATAGGTATATGTTTTATGTAAGTAACTACAAATTATTTAAATACCTAACCTAATGATAGTAAACCATGCATTTCTGTTTTTGTAAACATGACACAGTTGTTATGAGCAAGGTTCTTTATGTAATCAATATTTCATAGGACATGTTAGGACTTTGTATTCTTCCCCCTACCCTATTTTAATGTGAACTCCTTTTGCCTTTCTTTTTACCTCCAGCCTTTAGCCCTTGGCACTTTAAGTAAGCAACAAACCCTTGGTCCTTGTGAGGATCCATTGAGATAAATAGGTAAAGAAAGCACTTTGCAAATTTTAAAGTGCTGTGTAGATAGTAACTTTTTTTCCTTCTTGTTATTGTTAGTATTGTTGTTACTTCCCAGTTCTCTTCTGGGTTGTTTCTTACATTTTGATGAGTTTTTCTTCCTTCGTAATAAGCCCACGCTTAGAGAGATTCCTTAAGTTCTTTCCCAAGCTTCTTAAATAGGGAGGATAACTTGTATTTAATCAATAGGCATGCCTGTAAAACAATCCTTTAGGTCGTTGGAAGGATTTCCTTGGTTTCCATACTTCCTGCTATTGATAGATTTAAGCTTCTCAAGTTGTTCTTTATAGTTTCTCCAGAAAACTGACATTGTTAACTCCTATAGCAATTTTTAAAAAATTATTATTTCTTTTACCTATTTACTGCTTCTTAGCTTGGGAAGGTTTTTAAATTGGCTACAATTTAAGTTAAGTTGACCACACCATTTTACACTCTACCAATACAAAGGTGAATGTCTATAATATTGGAAAATTACTTACTGTTTATAGCCTCTTCTTTTTCTGTCCTGTCTTGTCTGTTTATCTGTATTCCTTATTTTAATTGTTATTTCTTCTACTTCCTACCTGTTATATATGGTACTGGTCTAATTATGAACTGCTTTTTTTTCCCCCACTATGCGTCTGACTTGTAGAAAATCTAAGTGTGGCCTTTAACTGCATTCTCAATACTACTATTACTAATGGTAATGATAAGAGTTTTTTATTTAGAATTCTAGCACTTTTGCATACATTATCCAGTTCTAGATCTTAGATCTTGTTATTAATTTGAGCCTCTAATCCTATAATAACTATTATTCCCTTTTAAAAATGAGGAAAGTGCAGCTTAGAGAGGGTAAGTGACTAGGCCATTGTCATAAAGCTAGTAAGTATCTATCAACAAAGTTTTTATTCAATACTTTCTGTATTCCAGGCACTGTTCTTCATGCTGGGGGGATACAAAGAAGGCAGGCAGTCCTTGTCCTTGATGGATTATATATTGTAATTCAGGGAACAAAATAAACAAGTATATACAAAAATATACAAACTTGGCAGGCTAAAATCTATCATTGGGCACTGGCACTGGGTGGTTATAACTTATTCAGAAGAGCAAGAATAGGTAAAAGGAGGATAGTGGCATTGCATATTAAGCAGGTATGTATGCATGTAAATTATCTTGTAAATTGTAAAGCGATATCTAAATGTTAAGTATTATGTGAGGATATCCAGGAATCAGAGATGGGGCATATAGAGTATTTCAGCAAAGGTTGATGGTGGAAGAAACATGTAATTTGTCATTGAAGTATATTACAGATTAACTCAACATAAAGATGAAATAGATGAATTTGGGAAATATTATTAGATTATAAGCTTTTTGAGGGCAAGTACTGTCTTTTGGCCCATTTTGTGTCTTCAACTCTTAGCATAGTGCCTGGCACATAGTAGGTACCTAATAAATGTTTATGTACTGCCTGAGATCACAGGTCTGGCACAGAGGTGTTATATAGTGGTGAGGAGGGACTTCAGTTAGTCAGGGACCTACTGGAAACTTCTTTTTGCTGAAAGCAGAGCAGTTACTAACTTCTTCACTTGTCTTCATCCTAATTTCATACTTAAAAAGTAGAGGAAACCAGCAAGGGGAAATTCTTTTGGAAATGATGGGAACTAATGGCTAAACAAGTTGTGGTATATGATTGTGATGGAATGCTGTTGTGCTATAAGAAATGACATGTAGGATGGTTTCAGAAAAACCTGGGAAGATTTATATGAATTCAGCTAAGTGGTGCAGTGGGTAGAGTGCTGGGCCTGGAGTCAGGAAGACTCATTTTCGTGAGTTCAAATCTGGCCTCAGACTCTTAATAGCTATGTGACCCTGGACAAGTCACTTAACCCTGTTTGCCTCAATTTCCTCATCTATAAAATGAGTTGGAGAAGGAAATGGCAAGCCACTCTAGTATCTTTGTTAAGAAATTACCAAATGGAGTCATGAAGAGTTGGACATAATTGAAAATGACTGAACAGCAATAACCTTAGATAGGCATCTGGTCCAACTCCCTTATATTACAGATACAGAAACTGAAACTGAGACATGTCAAGAGGTTTATCCAAGCTCACACTGATACATCTAGGTGATAGCTAGAACTTGAAGGGGTGGGTGGTGGCAAAGTGTAGTTGTGGAACTGTTGTTCAATTCTGAATTTGCTTCTGTTTTCTCTTTTAGGGAGGATAGCCTTTACACTGGAAATGTCAGAACAAAAATTCCTAGCAAGGAGTTGATAACCCAGGATAGGTAAGGGACAGCCACAGGGATAAAGCCTGTGATTTCATTGATATAAGGAACTCCTGGATGAGGAAACTCACATTATTAAAGCAAGTTGGAACCTTCTGTGCAACATATAGAGCTGCCTGAGAAGTTAAGTGACTTCCCCAGAGTCACGCAGTCAGTATGAGTCATAGGTGGGGCTTGAACCCAAGTCTTCCTGGTTCTGAGGACATTCCCACTATTCCAGTGCTGATTAATTATTAAGAAGATAGCAAAAGTGTATCTAGGTGCCCTTGATAAATTCAAACTAACCAATTCAAGTTATGATGTATTATATCTTTGAGTCTTAAAAGAAATGGCAGATATAATTGCTGAGCCACTGACAGTAATATTTGAAAGATCATGAAAAATAGGAGCTGTCCAATATTGGAGACCTGCAGAATGTCTGGATTTTCAAAAAAGGGTAGAGAACAAAGGCTGAAAGTTATATATGCCAATGAGCTTGTCTTTAGCTTCTGGGATAAATCTAGAATTGATCCTTATAGCAATAGTTTTTATCAATGACTTGCATTTTTATCAATGACTTAATAAAGGCATAGATGCCCCCCTCATCACATTTGCAACTGACATGAAACTAGGAAGAATAGCTAACACACTAGATGACAGAGTTAGAGTCTGAAAGACTAAAGCATTGTTTGAATCAGATTAGCTTTACAAAAATAAAATGGAGGAGGATTGTTTAGACAGACAGTACTTGTTCTGAAAGACATAGTGTTTTGTTTTGTTTTGTTTTGTTGTTTGGTTTTTTTTTTTGGTAGACTATGAGCTCAAAAAAATCTAATGCAGTCTTGAACTGCCTTAAGAGGCATAGCTTCCAGGAATAGGGAACTGATAGTTTTGTTGTATTGTGCCATCATCAGAACTCATCTGCTAGAAGAGTGTATTTGGTTCTCTTCACCATGGTTTAAGAAGATAATTGATAAATTGAAGGTAACCACAATAATGAAGGCTAGATTTGATTCTGTGTCGTAGGAGAATCATATTTTGCTTAGAGAAGACATGATGGCTGTCTTCAAGTATTTTAAGGGCTCTCGTGGGGAGGAGGGATCATAATTGTTCTCCTTCACCACAGAGTAGAACCAGAATCAGTGGGTGTTGCAGAGAGACAAATTTAGACAAATTTTCTTGAATTCAGGGGAAAAAACCAAAATGAACAAAAACTTCCTACAAATTAGAGTTTCCTATGAGGAACTGGCTGCCTCTAGAGGTGGAGAGTTCCCTCTTTTTGGAGGTATTCAAGCAGAGGCTGGATGAGCACTTAGAGAGCATGTTATAGTGTGGATTCCTTTTGGATATGGGTTGGGCTAGGTGACCACTGAGGTTCCTTCTAGCTCTAACATCCCGTGAGTCTGTATTTTACATAGCTCTTTATAGTATCCTAGGGGAGTAATCTAAGCATAATCACCACCATTTTATAAGTGAGGAAACTGAGGCTCAGAGAGAAAAAGTTACTTGCCCAAGGTTACACAGCTAAGTAAATGGCAAAGCTAGTTCTCTTGTTTAGGGTCACAAAGCCAGGTTAGTAGCATAGCCAGAACTCAGCTGTGAGTCTTGACTCCAATTAAGTGCTCTTTACACTACACCTGATTTCTGTTCATAATTTCTTTCCCTTTGGTTTTGGAGCATAACATCAATATTTTAATGCATGGAGAGTATTTACTTTTACTTTCCTTGGAGAAAAGTTTTTTTTCCCAATAAAGCCATACCAACCTCAAAAAAATGCACATTTCTTAGAGTCAGATATATATAGTTATATATGTGTGAAAACTTAGAGGTACCTTAAATAAAGATGAAATTTGTTTTCATTTTTCTTTGATAGTTCAAAACTTTGATCTTTTTATTTGTTTATTTTACAGAAGTATTACTTACCTTAACTGACACCATTGAAACAGAGAAAACAGTTTCTTGGGGTTTTGTTTTTCTTTTGCATATATCCTGACTTGGTTAAACCCAAGTAGTTTTGGCGCTAAAGTTGCTGTAGTGAAATTCACTGTACTTTTATGGATAGCCAGGGGATTTAAAGAGACATTTTTGCTTGAAAGCATTGAAAGGATCTTAGAGGTTGTCCAGTCAAATTTCCTAACACATATAAAAGATTTGTGTTATTGTCTCCCTTCATTAATTAACAAGGACAACTATTTCTTTTTATGGCAACTCAGTGCAGTTTTTCCTTAAAGAATAGAATGGATGGAAAGTGAAGAGAGGCAGATTTAGATGAAAACTTTTTTTGTCATTCACGTAAGTGCTATCCTTTGTAGTAAATTACCAAAAATATGTAGAATATTAAGAATTGGAAGGGCAGTCTTCTGTGTTTAAGGAGAAAAAACAGCAATTTGCTCATCTGTGTTATTCTCTGGGGGCTTTGAACCAAGTATCTCTGAATTGGCCTTGAAAAAGAACTGATATTGAAGGGAGATATGCCTTCTTGTTTATACTGAAACAGGGATTATTCTTATTTTTTCATTTATTTATTTATTTTTGATGAGTCAGTTGGGTTTAAGTGATTTGCCCAGAGTCACTAGAGCTAGTAAGTGTTATGTGTCTGAGGCTGGATTTGAACTCAAGTCCTCCTGAATCTAGGGCCAGTGCTCTATCCATTGCTGCCACCTAGCTGCCTTCAGACATTATTTTAAAGACATTATTTTAAACAGGTGTAGAGCCCTGTGTCTTTGCCTCCATACGTGTGAGTCAAAACCACCTATCATTTTTAAAAGTGAAATAAGTTGCCTGAGGAGGTGATTCACCTTTTTTGGACTATTTCAATTAGATGCTACTTCTTAGCTATAACATAGCAAAGAGTTTCTGTTCAGGTAAACAGGTTGGACCAGAAGTTTTTTGAGATACCTTCAACTTTAAGGTTCAGTGATTCAGTGATTCTGTAGTAGAATATTTAAAATTTATTGTGAAGCTACATTAAATATGACACAAATTTGTTGTCGTTTGTTGTTATCATTTATCACCATGCTAGTTCAACTCTCCTCACTTCAAATTCAGATAATATCTCATTTCTTTGTCCTGCCTCACATTTCTCTCCTCTCCAGTATACATCCTCCAAATAACTGTCAGTGATTTTCCTAAAGTACAAATCTGACCATGTAATTTACCTGTTCAGTAAACTCCAGTGGATCCTTTTGATCTCTGAAATCAAATATGTACTCCTCTGTCTAGTAAAGCTTTTCATAAACTGACCCGTTTCTGCCTTTCTAGACTTTTTACGCAGAATTCCTCTTCCAGCATTCTATAGTCCAGCTGTTGCTTATATACACTTTATCTCCTGTTTTCTGTGCCTTTGCATTGGTTGTTCCCTATGCCTTTAATATTCTTCTTTCCCTCCTCTGTCTCTTGGAATCACTGGTTTCCTTCAAGACTCAGCTCATGTCACCTTCCATAGGAGTCTTTTGCTGATCACCCTATCAACTACTGCCTCTCCATCCAAAGTTACCTTTTAGTTTGCTTTGTATATGTGTTGTATTTTGTCTCCACCAATAAAATGTGAGCTTCTTGAAGATAGGACTATTTGGGTTTTGTTATTGTATATTTAGTAGTGGCCTGGCACATTATAGGCACTTAATAAATCCTTATAGATTGATTCTTTTAGATTCCGAAAAACTTTGGCCCAAAGCAGTTAATTCAAGGCTACATAGCAGTTTGGTGGTAAGTCTAGAACTAGATAGAACCCATGTTTCTTAACTCCTAAATCTGTGTGCTTTCCTTTATATGATAATGATAATAGGTTTTTTTTAAATTAATTTATTTTTAGTTTTCAACATTCACTTCTGCAAGCTTTTGAGTTTTAAATTTTCTCCTCCTTCCTCCCCAAGACAGCATACAATCTGATATAGGCTCTACATATACATTCCTATTAAACATATTTTCACATTATTTATGACATAAAGAAGAATTAGAACCAATAGGTGGAACCACAAGAAAAAAAGAAACAAAACAAAACAGAAGAAAAAAAAGAGCAAATAGTATGCTTTGATCTGCATTCAAATCCCATGGTTCTTTCTCTAAATATGGATGGTATTTTCTGTCATGAGACTTTTGGAGATGTCTTAGATCATTGCATTGCTGAGAAGAGCTAAGTCTATCAAAGTTAGTCATTGCACAACGGGCTGTTACTGGGTACAACATTCTTCTAGTTCTGCTCACTTCACTCATTATCAGTCCATACAAGTCTTTCCAGGTTTTTCTGAAGTCTGCTTTCTCAATTTCTTATACCACAATAATATTCCATTACGTCCATGTACCACAACTTGTTTAGCCATTCCCCAGTTGATGGACATCCCCTCAATTTCCAATTCTTTGCCACCACAGAAAGAGCTGTTATAAACATTTTTGTACCTGTGGGTCCTTTTCCCATTTTTATGATCTCTTTGGGATACAGCCCTAGAAGTGCTATTTCTGGGTCAAAGTGTATGCATATTTTTATAGCCCTTTGGGCATAGTTCCAAATTGTTCTCCAAAATCCACCAACAATGGATTAATGTTCCAATTTTCCCACATCTTCTCCAACATTAATTTTTTCCTGTTTTGTCATGTTAGCTGATCTGATAGATGTGATGTAGTACGTCAGAGTTGTTTTGATTTGCATATCTCTAATCAGTAGTGATTTAGCACATTGTTTCATATGACTATAGGTAGCTTTAATTTTTTACTCTGAAAATTGCCTATTCATATCCTTTGACCATTTATTGATTGGGAAATAACTTGTATTCTTATAAATTTGACTTAGTTTTCTATGTATTTTAGAAGTGAGGTCCTTATCAGAGACACTGGTTGTAAAAATTCTTTCCCAGTTTTCTGCTACCCTGCTAATCTTGGTTGCATTGGCTTTGTTTGTGCAAAAACTTTTCAATTTAATGTAATCAAAATTATCCGTTTTGCATTTCATAATATTCTCTATCTCGTTTGGTCATAAATTCTTCTGTTCTCCATAAATCTGACAGGTAAACTATTCCTTGCTC